AATTTTTTGTATTTAGTAGGGTCGGGGTTTCACCATGTTGATCAGACTGGTCTCAAACTCCTGACCTCAGGTGATCCACCCACCTTGGCCTCCCAAAGTGCTGGGATTACAGGCGTGAGCCACCATGCCCAGCCTACAGTAAGATTTTTGATAATATTACTATAATCAGAATATAGACAGGAAAACTTTTGCTAGCATTATTATAATCATGACAATGTAGTTGAGCATAAGAATAAATAGATTAAAAAAGCAAAATTGAGAATCAAACCATAGTTCATACAATGAGCTTAATATGTCAAGGATGATGTGTGATTCAATAAAATGAATAATATATTTCATAAGTAGTGTTGGCATAATTGTTCACCTGAACAAAACAGTGTGAGAATATACCTCCCAATATATAGTCAAAACTGAATTCCAGAATATTTCTGGTGTCTATCAATAAGAGAATGGACAAATAAACCATGGAATATTACTTAGCAATAAAAGGAACAAACTCCTGCTTCACACACAACATGAACGGTTCTCTTAAACATAATGCTAAGTGAAAGCAACCAGATGCAAAAAAGCATATGCTGTATGACTCTACTTATATGAAGTTATAAAACCAACTGATGGTCAAAAAAATTAGAACAGTGGTTGCCTCTGGGTATGGATGTGGGTGAGGATGCAATGGGGAGGGATGAGGTTGGGGGCCTTCCTGGTTTGATGGCAATGTTCTGTATCTTGATGAGAGTTTGGGTTACACAGTTGTGTGCATTTTTAAAACCTCTATAAATGTACACTTGAGACTTATGAGTTTCACTCTACGCACATTTTACCTTAAAAAAGAACCTTAAATAAATACATGTGAGAGACATGTATGCTAAAGTGGCTAGGGGTGATATGTAATGATGCATGCAAGTCACTTGGAAATACAACAAAACAATAGATGGTGTGATGGATGGGCAGAGGGATGGATAGATGAATAGTTACATGATAAAGCAAATGTACCAAGATACTAATTCTAGAATCTAGGTGGTAGGTATATGACTGTTCTCTGCCAAATTCTATCAAGTTCTCTGTGTGCTTGAAATTTTTCAAAATAAAATGGTGGGAAAAATAAATACATTTCACAGGTACTAAATATTCAAATATAAAACAAACACCCTTCCCAATAAAATAGCCCAGGAAACTAGGAAATATTTTATAGCCTTGGAGTGAACATAACTTTTAAAATAAACCAGGTAACCCAAGAAGACATAGCTATTACATGAATGTTAACCACTTTATAAGCCAGAGGATATCATTAACAATATAAAGGAATAACAGATGGGGGAAAAGATAAATTATATCACACAGGGCAGGCAAAGGAGTAATGTCTGTAATATAAAGAGACTTTCTATAAGTTTCTAAGAAATCAACAAACAACCCAGTAGAAAAATAGATAAGGACATGTACAAACAATAGAAGAGAAAACACAAATCCCTGCACCATGTGAAAATATATCAATATCACTAGCAGTCAGTTGAAAATGTAAGTTAAAACACAATGATGCTACTTACACACAATGGAGTACTATTCAGCTATAAAAATGGATGAGATCCTGTCATTTGCAACAACACGGACGCAACTGAAGGTCATTATGTTAAGTGAAATAAGCCAGGCACAGAAAGATAAACATCGTATGTTCTCACTTATTTGTGGGATCTAAAAATTAAATCAATTGAACTCATGGAGATAGAGAGGAGGAGGATGGTTACCAGAGGTTGGGGAGGGTGGTCGGGGAGGCGGGTGGTGTAGGGGGTATGGTTAAATACCAAAAAAAAAAAAAAAAAAAAAAAAAAAAAAAAAAAAAAAAAAAAAAACAGAAAAAGTGAATAAAACCTAGTATTTGATAGCAAAACAGGGTAACTATAGTCAATAATAATTCAATTGTACATTTTAAACTGTCAGAGGCTGGGCATGGTGGCTCATGCCTATAATCCCAGCACTTTGGGAGGCCGAGGCAAGCGAATCACTTGAGGCCAGGATTTCGAGACCAGCCTGGCCAACATGGCAAAATCCCTTCTCTACTAAAAATACAAAAAAAAAAAAAAAAAAAATTAGCAGTACATGGTGGCGCACACCTGTAGTCCCAGCTACTCGGGAGGCTGAGGCAGGAGAATTGCTTGAACTCAGGAGGCAGAGGCTGCAATGAGCCGAGATCGCGCCACTGCACTCCAGCCTGTATGACAGACTAAAGACTGTCTCAAAAAATGAATAAGTAGGCCAGGTGCGGTGACTCACACCTGTAATCCCAGTACTTTGGGAGGCCAAGGTGGCCAGATCAGCTGAGGTCAAGAGTTCGAGACCAGCCTGGCCGACATGGCGAAAACCCATCTCTATTAAAAATACAAAAACATTAGCTGGGCATGGTGGTGGGTGCCTGTAATCCCACCTACTTGGGAGGCTGAGGCAGGAGAATCTCTTGAACTCTGGAGGTAGAGGTTCCAGTGAGCTGAGATCATGCCATTGCACTCCAGCCTGGATGACAAGAGTGAAACTCCATCTCCAAAAATAAAAAAAAATTAAAAATTAATTAAGATAACTAAAAGGGATTGTATGTAACACAAAGGATATATGCTTGAGAGAATGAATACCACGTTTTCCATGATGTGAGTATTATGCATTGCATGCCCGTATCAAAACATCTCATAAACCTTATACATATATACACCTGCTCTGTAAAAATTTTAAAAATGTAGACATATGTGAAATTTAAAAATGAGGCATCATTTTTCATTGTTGGAGCAGCAACCCTTTGTGAGGGTTGATCACCTCCAGGTCTGGTGAGGATGCTGAAGCCCAGCACCATACATTCCCGGTGGAGTGTGAATGTTTGCTAACTTTCAGAAAAGTAATCTTGGCAGCAATGATGCCCAAAAGACACCCCAGATCACAGAGGAATAGGCATAATATGATCCAAATTTTGTAGAATAAAAATGTTCAAATTTTTGACCGAAGAGAAAAATGCCAAACAAGGCACACCTAATTGTTGAAATTGATGCGTCAGGGCAGGTGTAGATAAACTGTGGTCTGAAAGCTAAACTTGGCTGGTCCCTTTTTTAATAGTCCATGAGCTAAGAATGACATTTATAACTTCTTACGGGGTTAGTTACATTCTAAATGGTTATATAATTATCTACATGATATCCTTCATTTTGCCTCTTAGCCAGCAAAGCCTAAAATATTTATTAGACAGCCCTTTGAGAAAAACTTTACCAATCCCTGCCTCAGGGGAATTTTAGTTTATTTTTTATTCTGTTTTTTAAATTTTACTTTAAGTTCTGGAATACATGTGCAGAACATGCAGGTGTGTAACATAGGTATACGTGTGCCACGGTGGTTTGCTGTACCTATCAACCCATCATCTAGGTTTTAAGCCCTGAATGCATTAGGAATTTGTCCTAATGCTCTCCCTCCCTTTGCCCCTCACCTGCTGACAAGCCCTGGTGTGTGATGTTCCTCTCCCTGTGTCCATGTGTTCTCGTTGTTCAACTCCCACTTATGAGTGAGAACATGTAGTGATTGGTTTTCCATTCCTGTGTTAGTTTGCTAAGAATGATGGTTTCCAGCTTCATCCATGTCCCTGCAAAGGACATGAACTCGTTCTTTTTTATGGCTCCATAGTATTCCATGGTGTATATGTGCCACATATACAGTCTTTATCCAGTCTATCATTGATGAGCATTTGGGTTGGTTCTAAGTCTTTGCTATTGTAAATAGTGCTGCAAAAAACATATGTGTGCAGGTGTCTTTATAGTAGAATGATTTATAAACCTTTGGATATATACCCAGTAAAGGATTGCTGGGTCAAATGGTATTTCTGGTTCTAGATCCGTGAGGAATCACAACACTGTCTTCCACAATGGTTGAACTAATTTACACTCCCACTAACAATGTAAAAGCATTCCTATTTCTCCACAGCCTCACCAGCATCTGTTGTTTCCTGACTTTTTAATGACTGCCATTCTAATTGGCATTTCCTTTTACTTCTCTGTATTGTTTTGATTTTTGTAATAATCATGCATTACTTTTGCAGGTTTAAAGAGGATGGACAGGTAGATAGGTAAGCAGGTAGATCAGTCACTTTAGGGGCTGTTGAAATGGATGTAAGGAGACAAAAGGAAACCAGGGACACCAGTTAGGAAGCCACTGTAACAATCCAGGTGAAAGGGAATAGTGCTTTGGAATAGATTGGGGGAAGCAGAGATGGAGACAGAGGGATAGATTTTTTGGTACCCTATGGGGGCCGCTGAGGGATTGAAAATAGATGGACACAGAAGGAAACCAAAGATCATTCCTAGGTTTCATCTTTTAGTTAAGTGGTGCCAACTACTGAGATGGAGGGACTAGGGAGAGGATATTGGAGAGTAAATCCCAAGCTCTATTTTGGGCTTGTTAAAGTTCTAAATGAAATTGTGTGAACTAAGCAGTTGGATATAGATGATTAGTGCTGCTCAGAATGTAGAGGGGGAGGCTGAGCAGGAAATACAAGTTTAAGAGTACTCATCGTGTAGACGGTACTTAAAGCTATTTGGAAGCAATACAGAGAGAAGAGAGAAGGGGATCAAGAGTCTACCTGGTGACACAGTGCCCAACCCAGCTGCAGATCAAAGGCCTCATGCATGCCTGGGGTCTGCTCTCTGCTGACAGATGCCTCTGGTGCCACTGTCTACCTGCTTGGATTCCCTCAAATCATCTGTTCCAAAATTTCCTCTTCCCAAGGAACACTATAGCTTCATAATAGACACTATCCCTTCCTCACAGTCCAAGCCCAAATGCTTGCTTTCTTGCTTGAACAACCAGCTACTATGACTTCTCCTGGCTGGATAGTCCTCCTGGCATCTTGGTCTCTCAGTGGAGAGCTCAGTAGAGATCCCATTCCCTCCCAGTGTGCTCTGCCATAGTTCCCAGCCACGTAGAGTCCCCTTTCACTCATGCCATGCTTCTACTTGAGAATGCCAAGAAGGACTCACCAAGGAGCTGGTGTAGGTGGGATCTGAGGTGTCATCCTGGAGGTAGCGGGAGAGGCCAAAGTCGGACACCTTGCACACCAGGTTACTGTTGACCAGAATGTTCCTAGCAGCCAGGTCCCGGTGCACATAATTCATCTCGGCCAGGTACTTCATGCCAGCAGCGATGCCCCTGAGCATACCCACAAGCTGGATCACGGTGAACTGCCCATCATTTTGCTGTAATAAGACATAGAGGGCATTGGGATCAAGACGGGCTTTAGTGGTTAAGCAGAGGGAGAGATGCTGTGGCCCTCCTGCTTGTCAGCTTCCATCTGCTCCAGGCCGAACCACATACTGCATCCTCCTGCCTCCCCCACTCCCATCCCCCATCCCTCTCCATGAATGCTTTGTTCTCTTCTCCTTGCCAAGCCCTGTCAATTTTGTCTCCAAATTACATCTGAAACCCATCTACTTCTTTCCATCTCCACTGCCGCCAGTCCAACCAAGTCGCTGCCATCCATCACCTATAACAGCCTCCTTGCCTGCCCCCCAATCCATTCTCTCCAGCCAGAGCCATCTTTCTAAGACATAAATCAGGCCATGTCAGTCCCTAGCTTAAAAATATCTAATAGCCTCCCATTGCATTAAGGAAAATCTCCAAACTCCTTAGCATGGTCCACGAGACCGCCTGGGATCAGCTACTGCCTTACCTTAGGCCACCATACCCATCACTAATGTACTAAAGCCACAGTGACTGGCACCCTTTCTTCTTTTCCAAGACAAACTCTTCCTGACTTAGGGCCCTTAACATGTGCTATTTCCTCTGTTTTCCCTCCAACAATTGACATCTACTCGCCCTTCAGTTCTCCGCTTAAATATCACTCTCTTACAGCGGGAACCCTTTAACTACTCCCCTCCCTCAAATATGACTAGCACTTTCTGATGACAACGTTTAGTGCATGCTCTTAGTCGTCTTCTTAGCACATATCACAAGTTTTAATCGTGTGCGTGTATCTGTCTATCTGTCTGTCTCTGCTGATTGATTTTATACTCTTTGAGGACAAGAACTCTGTCTTCTTTGGTCACCATAGTATTATCAGTGCTGTAAACTTTAAGGTACATAGAAAATCTTAATACACATAAGTTGAATGAATGATGAACACATCTTTTCCTCTTTCCAAAATCAAGCATATAAAGCACCTTCTCTGGGTATTCCCAGGGCTTTCAGCCTTTAGACTGGTATAACCACACCTTCCTCATAGGGACCATGGGTCAGGAGAACTTCATGGACAGCGTCTGGCACAGGGAACTCTCCTAGTGAATGGGAGCTGTTGCTGCTCTTCTTCATGGCAACCTGCAGTGCTGCCCTCTCTCCCATCATTTGTGGGCTCAGAGTTTCTTGGGTGGATGCCCTCCCTCTGTTAGACAACAGATTCTTCAGTGAATAAAACAGTGTCTTCCTCCTATCTCCCCAAAGCTCCTGGGTCTCGACTTTGCACACACCAGTTAAATCAGTAGACCCTAGGCTATACTGCCAAGAACATATTTTCCCATCTAGTCCAGCCCCAAATGCTCCCCAAAGGGCTGAGAATTATGTTCTATAAGTAGAGCACAGCCTAGTCATTAGAATGCTCTGACTGGAGGAGAGGTGGAAGCAGGACACCTGGGGTCTACTCTGTGTTTACTGCTAAACACAGGTACTTGACAAGACAACCATGACCTGCGTCCCAGAGTCCTTATGTGAAATCCAGAAAGCATAGACAATGAGAAGAGCTCCCATCATTGAGTATCTACTGTATGCAAGATGTTACACAGTGCACTCACATGCATATGCTACTGCAAAAGCATTTCTATGCAAAAATAAGCAAGGAAAAATAAAAGACCTATTATAAAAATACTCTACTTATGAGCAACAACAACAACAATCAAAAAGTCTAACAATGATTGCATGAATTGTTGGAAACTCTGTTCCTCATGCAAGATTGCAAGCCTGGATCTATGTTCTGGGGGTTATGCTCCTTGATCAATTGAAGGAATAGAGCAAATTGACTTTCTCCCCTCCTGGAGATGTCTGCCAGTAGAAGGGCCCCCAAACACACTGTGTTTGACACACTCCAAGTTCCAGGCTATTTCTAACTCTAACCTTAACCACCTCCCAACCTGCCCAGGAGAAGGGATGTATGCTTTCTCCACAACAGATTCTTTTAAGCAACTCAAAAAGAAAGTATAGAGCTACTTTTTGGAAACTCTGACTGGTTTTCAGCACATTGCCCATCTGTGAGAGCTGGATGTGTAGTGAGTGATGCGGATCTTCCTTCTCACTAATACACTTCAATCAGCACCTTCTCAAGAAGTTAGCCGGGCTGTTGCTAGCACAAAGTATTTTCTCCAAGTAGGTCTCTGTGGATTTGCCTCTTCAGAAAGTTGTCATGCAATTTCTGTATATTACAGAGGTGTATCTCAGCCACAAGTCACATGGCTTGTATTTTTTCAATTCAGTCTATTATTTCCTCTCTGTAGGTGTAGGCAACAGTGTCTACACATACGGAATGTCTCCCTAAAAAAGATGGCATGTGGGGAGAGCACTGGGGTGGCTTAAACAACTTTGAGAAGAGTAATGTTGAAAGCGCATACAGCAATGTGTTTACGTTTTTGCTTTGTCGTTTAAGTCTTCTTAGAGCTTATTTATTATATGATTTGTTTTAAAATTTAGATTAGTCATCCGTATAGTTTCTTGGGTCAATAAAGACCAAGAAATGATTAAAGGTCCAGGCTTTGGAACCAGCCGACCTGATTTGGATCCAGGCTCTGCAGCTTAGTGGTTGTGTGGGCTTGGGCAAGTTATTTAACCTGCAGAGCAGTTATTTCCACACCTATAACATAAGAACATAGTGTCCACTCTTCATAGGGTTCTGGTGAGACTAGAAGAGATAACACGTATGAAAGGCCCTAGCTCAGTGCCTTGTGGGCCCTAAGATGGTAGCAGTGATCCCTGCTAATATCAGCAGAGCCTTAGTAACAACTCACAATTCAGTTCCCGTGTACCTCAGATGTGCATGGTGAGAGAGACTGAGGACACCTGGGACCAGAACTCTGGTTCTTATGGCTTCCTGGGTGTGTGGGGGAAACATCTTGGGATCATTGTTCTTGGGGAGCCCAGTACTCAGCACATGCTGAGCTCAGTAGGTAACAGATAGGCATCTGTAATTGTAGTAGATGGTTGGGACCTAATGATGCAGGCCTAAACTTTGGATCAATTAGTCACAAATGTGGGTAGCATCCGTCACTTGACTTTTGAATGGCAAATAATACTTTACATGTTTTGATATGTTTTGATCCTTAAAATCAGCCCTGTGCAGTAGGCAAGGCAGGCAATATTATATTGTTTTCACAGACAACATAAAGGAGGTCCAGAAAATGTGTGTGATCAGCCTTAAATCACGGTGTGGTTTTGAGTTATACCAGTAATCAAAGTTCAGAATGGTAAATCACTTCTCCACTGACAGCCCATCTCTGATCAAATGGTAATGGTGGCCTCAAATGCTGTGTGGAGAAAAACACTGTGCATCAGCTTTGCAGGGAGAAGAACCATGATGGATTAGTGATGCTAGTCTTATCTGGGTCTTCTAACTCCTGTCCCGTGCTTTTGCCATTGGAATGTGCTCACTCTGCAACGGGCAACATATTTTCTTTAGAATCTTCAAGAGAACCACATATCAAGATAGGTAGGGTCATGTCTGTTGAATTTGTAACCTTGGTGAAATTTAAAGATAAAAACATATTAAGATTTTTCTGGCATGTTTAACTGTTACATGCTCAGTTGATTGGTATAATTCTCCAAAAAGAACTTCCAGAGATATGAACAGTAGCATTCAAAGATGAACAAGACACACACACACACACACACACACACACAAACTGATTTCTTGGTGACTTTGGGAAAGAACCTGGCTCCATGCTGAGCACACAGTAAAAGCACAGCACAGAGAAGAAATACAGGTCTAGGTGAGGTGATTTAAACCTTCCTCCCTTCATGAAGTGCTTTCTGCTGAAATTGCTTTTCTGCAAATGCACCGAAGCCACTTGCTGGTCCTTATATTAGACAGGAAGGATTTAGGTATTTCAACTTTCATTGACGAATCCACTTCAGGAAATGAAATCCTTATTTGATTTGTTCAAAGAAAATGAATCATAGATTTTTTCTAACTGAAAGGGACCTTTCGAGCTCACCTAGCTCAATGCCTTTAGTTTATAAATTGGGAAATTGAGTTAACAGGTTTGCTCCAGGTCACAGGGTGACTCACAGCAGAAGCCAAAGCAGAACCTTGGTCTCAGGACTTCCAATCTGGTGTTCTCTTAGTGATTTCTGGGTTGTTATCTTCTAGCTGCAGCCCATGAATGAGCTTCTCTGATGAGAAATGTCCCTATTCGACATTACTCAGTGACTTTCAAGAGTCTTCCAGTTATGATTATCTGTGGAAGAACCAGCAGCAACCGCAAAGCCAAGCTTTAGGCAAGAAGGCCTTATGGAGCATGTCAAGAACCATGTTAACTAAACCATGGGATACTGGCCACAGCTTCAGGAATTGTTCCTAATATTAGGGAAGAGCCACCAGGTTGAAGCCCTTGAATTTGAGTGTCAAGAAGGAAAAATTCAATTATGGATTTGTATGCTATATAATCCATAGCACAATAATTTTTAGAAAATTAGTAATAATGAACCATCTACTGAATGTGTGGTTGAAGCATAATGGTATCTCTCACATGCTGACTCAGGGCTAGAACTGTAGCCACTCTCCAAAGATGCTATGACCAGGGGGAAAGGAGAAGTTGGAGGGGAGGAAACAGTTGCAGAAATTGAGGACTAATCCTTTTCCTTTCTTCTCTGAGTAGGGATCCTAAAATTATCCTACTTCCCAGAAGATGGACCCTGTAGAACTGAACTGATGACCTATTTTTCGATTTTATCAAGCAGCAGATACGTCAATTAATGTTGCTATGCTCCAGGGTTCGGTAGTAAGGCTGAAATTAGATTTATAGATTACCTGCCTCCATGCAGTGTGAGGAGTCAGAAACGCTTCATTTCCCTCTCTCCTCCTGGCACTGCCTGCTCCCACCACTCCTTTCTTACCATGCCTGCTCCTCTGTTTTCCCGTGCTCCTCTCTTGCCCCCAGGTTTTCTTCCCCTGCAAGCTCAGCTCATCATCATGAGAAATGCTGGTGTCCAACATGCCTCCGTGACCTGGGCCCCAAATGAAAACAGACCCTAGGAAGAACAGCAGTGTAGGGTTTTGATTTTCTGCAGGCTCCTGAGAATGAATCTCCCTGTTCTCCCGCATACTCTAGTGAAGGAGTGTGATCACAGTCCCCAAATCAAGCAGTGGCTCTCTCTGAAGTCCAATCAGTTGACTGGTAGGAAATAAATGACTCCCAAAAGGGTCTTGACAGTGGTTCCAGAAAATGCTTTTCCTTCTCACATTGCCTTTTATTCAAGTTTATTCAGCTTTGTTAATTCAACTGTCTTCATGAGATCGCTGATCATAAATGAATGTCCCCAGGAAAGCATAGACAATGCCTTGCACTGACATGAGAGGTGTGGCAGCAAGGACAGTGAGAGATAATGTACACACAGGATGACTGGAGCTCTCATGCCACTCCCTAGCATTTTTGTTTGAGAAACAATTTTTCAGTCAACTAGCATTTACCAGGTGTGCACTGTTAGGTATTGGAGTTTCCAAATACAAAGCATGACCCCATACCCTCAAAGAGGCTGTCCTAGGGAAGGTGCAAGGGCCCAATAATCTGCATCAGTTGTTCCCCATCCCTGCACCCCCAGAAAAACAAACGCCACTACTGCCTAGTGACCCAGACTGGGCAAAAAGCATGTTCCTGTTGTACAAAGGTAGCTTCAGTAGTGTACTTCTAGACAAGTGCCTCAGCTACCCTTCCACACTACAGCCCCTAAGCTCTGTTTCTGAGTGCTGGAGCTACCATGTAGGGGTTGATAAATTACCAAACAGGTCCACACTTACTCTGGCCTTCATATACACTATTTTTGCTGTTCCATCAGCCTACCTGCCTGCTTCTTGCTTGTCTGACAAATTCCTCTTCTCTAATCTCAGATAAATTCTTCCCCCTCTTTGAAGCCTCCCCTAGATTCTCCAGGGAGATTTAAGAACTTCTCCACTTACTACATCTGTACTTAACTCATGGGGGAAAAAGTATAAGACAGGCAAATGATTGCTAGAAGCGTTGGGCACTAGCAGGAGTAGGGACTACATTGGTGGCAGGCGGTACTCTCTAAGATGAACATAACAAAAGCTCCCAGCTATCATGTGTAAGAAGACATTGAGTTGATGTCCCTTCATCAAAATGTGGGGCCTGTTTTCTCCCCTTGTATCTGGGCCTGTCACTATGTTGGAAATGACACTATGTGGCTTCCTAGCCTGGGTCACAAAAGTAACACAGATGGCCCATTCTTCTCTTGGGATGCTTTTTCTTGAGACTCAGCTTGCTCTAAGGCAGTCCAAGCAGGCCACCTAGAAAGGTGGCAGCTGACACTCAGCATTGACCACCTAATATATGAATGAAGGAGGCTTCAGACAACTCTAAGCCTCAGCCCTTGAGCTACTGCAACTGACTCCACATGGATCAGAGGTGTCCCTCCCAAACCTTGCCCAGATTGCAGATTCATGATCTAAATAAATTGTTGTTGTGCTAAGGCACTGAGGTCTTGGGGATGATTTGTTATGTAGCATTAGAGCAAGGTTTCCTTTATCTCTATAGGCACAGCATCCAGAATAGGGCCTGGCCAGAGCAGTGATCCCAGCAATGTGTCCATGACTGACCCTTTAATCTGCAGCCACAGCTATTGTGTGGTTGCTTTGGTAATGTAGCCAGCTACTGGGTATCACCCTGAAGTTCCTGCTTAGAAGGCTCTGCCCATTCTTTGATGCTGCCCACTGGACCCTCTGCTCTCAGTTTCTGCTTCCTGGCTGAAGCTATCAGCTTCCACTCCCCAGACATCAGCATCATGGCCATTCTTACTCATCCTTCCTCTAGGTGCTCAGTGATAGCCTACGGAAATGAAAACGGTTTCACTGTGGGCCTGGCTCCACTTTGGGCATATTCTGACAATGATCTTTTACAGGTCTCCCAGCCAAAGGCCTTCAGCAACTCCCACTTCTGCTGCAAGTTGGTTGGGAATCTTCACCAACCATAGAAATACCCATGGATGCTTGTGACACAGCCTTCCCCTTCCCTACCCAGAAGTGCCTCCTCAGAGGGCAGGTGGCCCAGGCATCAGAAAATGGCAACCTATTTTACTTCTGAACCTGTAAATGCAGAGAGCAGTCTGGGAGGTGGCTGTGCTGGTGAAAGGCAGAGATGGCCACGGCTGTCTGCATGAATCACACAGGGCTATGCAGCAGCCAAAAGTCTCTTCAATCTCTGTGATTCATGCAGATGCCAATGGCCATTCTTTGCCCCTCTCTATTCATTTTATTCATCCAACAAGCATTTGTCAATGCCCTACTCCATGCCACCCTCCTCCTGAGGATCCCACAAGCACTGTTTTGTTCTCTTCTTTCAGCAACAAATCTCTGCTAACATCTTCAATGCCCATTCACACTGGATCAGGCGATTCCTGAATGGCAGGTTGTACTCATGGAACCCCTCTCCGCAGCCACCACTCGCCTGCATCCAAGTGCATCATCAAACCCCTGAGTTGCTCTTACCCTGAGGAAAGAATCCAATGCACCATTCTCCATGAACTCTGTGATGATCATGACAGGCCGACTCTTGGTGACCACACCCTCCAGGCGAATGATGTTGGGATGGTCGAACTGGCCCATGATGCTTGCCTCACTCAGAAAGTCCCGACGCTGCTTCTCCGAGTACCCTGCCTTCAGGGTCTTGATGGCCACATAGATTTCTCTCTTGCCTGGCAGTTTCAAACGCCCCTTGTACACTTCTCCAAACTCGCCTGCAACAGCAAAAATACCATTAATATCCTCTTCCTTCTCAGTCTGTGGAACCAAGAGGGAAGACATCCAATGGAGAACAATGGTGCTCCAAGTGGAATTGTGATTAAAGTGGCGGGAATTGAAACAGTCTTCTCTCATTGTAACTATATTGTTTTGGCTGTGACCAGTTCATGGCAAACACAAAAGGATTACTAAAGTACATGCCTTACCTTGATACTTAGAAAGAGTTTGGGTAACTAAAGTGGAATTTCAGGATATATATGAGTTTGTTTCTCCCCACACTTAATTTTTCCATTGTGTCCCAGCTGAATAATGGAAATGAAATAGTCAATTTCACTTTGGCAGGATCATGATTCATTTTGAGCAGATCCTGGTGCAAGAACATTCAGGGGATGGGGACATGTTCAGATACCTTGGCCCTCTGAATGAGATGTATACTGTTTGTGTTCCTACACTGCTGGGAGACCATTTGTGTTTACTGGGTGCCCCAGAAAACAGACACTGAGGAGTTAAGAAGGGAAGAGGTTCACTTGTGAAAGACAAAAGTGAGAGGAAGCAGGATTGGGCAGACAGCCCAAGATCACCATGCAGACCTGATGAAATCCCAGCTAACCCAAAAGGGAGAGCCAGAGCAAAGTTCCTATTGCAGAAGCAGCCCGGCCCTCACATCCCTGCCATGCTCAGTCACTGGCTGGGGGCTGCTGGGAAGAGCTGGGCCTCTGCAGGAAAGCCGGGGCCGACCCTGAAGGGGCTGCAGCTGGAGGCTATCAGCTAACTGCACTTTTGGCAGATGAACACCAAGTTATTTCTCCAAACAGGCATGAGCTGCACACCTCCATGCATGCCACAACATTGAAACATTTTCACAGTAAAGTCACCAACAGTAAAAACAATTGTGGTGACACTACTTCATAGCTGCCTAAAAAAAAACTGTTGAATCCTGTTTAACATGCTTTCAAAAGTTATTTTATGATTTAACTTGGCTTGGTAACTTCCAATTCTTTCATGTGAAGCAGTTAAGTGTCTACTTGTAAGTGCAGCAGAAGAAACATGGCTTTCTGCTGGGAAAACTTTCTCTCTCACTTTCCGATTCTGGAAGAAAATGATGGAGCAAACTGAGCAATCAGAGAAATTACTCGCCATATTAGAAAGGCAAGTTAACATTGCTCCTGTGATTCATTTGGGAGTTCCTTTTGTTTTCTTGCTGCAAAAAAAGATTGGAAGGAAGCTGTATGAAAGGACTATTATGTAAAACTGCTCCAGAGTCAACAGAACTTGATAGAAACTGGGGCTGGAGTAGAGGTTGGTTAAGAACCATTAGGAAGATTTCAACATGGACCTAACACTCAGATAAATATCATTTACAACACTATTTGTTTTGGGGGGCTGTTCTTTTTCGTTCCTCCCATCCTTCCTCCCTTTCTCTCTCTCCCTCCCTCCTCCCTCCCTCCTCCCTCCCTCCTCCTTTCCTTCCTTCCTTCCTTCCTCTCCTATATATATATATATATATATATATATATATATATTTTTTTTTTTTTTTTTTTTTGAGACAGGGTCTCACTATGTTGCTCATGCTATACTTGAGCTCCTGGGCTAAGCAATCATCTTGCTTCAGCCTCCTGAGTAGGTGGGACGACAGGTATGCACCACTGCACGTGGCTGCAACACTGGTTTTCACATTGAATCATATGCTCTTTTGGTGAACTGCTGGATGTCAGACCAAGTCTCATGCATGTTTGTAGCTTGCACCTCCACTCCACTGTGGTGCTTGGCACATAGCAGACATGCCAGTAAAAGTTGTTGTATCATATTTTTTATTATATGTTTAGCTTTTGCCTTGCTCACTCTTGGGTTGCGAACTGTTGAAGATTCTTATCTCTGCTTTATCCAGAAGTAGAAGTACCAGTATTTGAATTTGTATGTTAAAAATATATTTACTGCAGCATCATCTTCTATAGACAAACACCACAACAGCTTAACTTATTTAGTAATTAAAATGAGTAAAATTTAAAGAAAAGTACTAGACAATACAGACCTGTCACATACATGTGTGTGTATATAAGTGTGTGTATATATTTGTGGATATATGTATATATGTGTCTAGATATATGTATGCATGTATATATGTAGCATATATATGTATGCATGTAGATACGTAGCATATATATAGCATATATGTATGCTATATATATACAACTATGAGCTAAATGAACATAAATTACATATTTGATAAGTATACTAATGGAAGAATATTAGTTAGTATTTCTTCCTTGTTGCCATAATAATGGGCTCTATTTTCTTTTAGAAAAAAGCCAGAGTTGATAGTTGAGGGTAAAGGTGTGTTAATATTTCTTTGTGGAGGAGACAGTACACAAACATGTATTTATTAACCACCTACTATGTGCCAGGAACTGTGCTAGGCACTTTGTGTGACTTATTCAATCTTCACAACACTCCTGGGAGGTAGGTATTACTATGGCCATTTAAATAATAAGGAAACTGAGGCACTAGGAAAACATGTCCCACACAGGTGGGAGTCACAGCCAGGGTTGTTGTCCATACCCATCTCTTCCTGCCATACTGCCTCTAGATAGCTATGTTTCAGTTAGCAGGGCCATGGGGAATAAAGCTACATAGATATGAAGTTATAGTTCAGGGACCATCATGCCCCAAATATGCAGGTCCAAACAAGTCATATATAGTGACTATCACAGCAACTCAATATCCAGGGGAGAGCAAAAGAAGTCATACTGTTTCATAGGCAGATGTCCTTCATGTAAGCCTCCTGCCTGGGAGCTGGGTGGCATCAGAATATTTGGAAGTCAGTGTATTTATCAGTTTCTACCTATCAACATGTGGAGTTTGAAAAAGTGCTCCAAGTGAATCTGATGTCCCCCACAACATACAAAAAGACTCCAGTTGAGAACTTCTGTTCTACCTCAGTAGTTCTCAAAGCTGGCTGCCCACTGGAATCACCTGAAGAGACTTACAGAGTCCAGAGGCCTGGGCCTTACCTCAGAGATTCTGACGAATTGGTCTGGGTACAGCCTGCACATTGACATATTTAAAAGCTGCCCAAAGGATTGGATACATAATTTGCAGAGCATGGTGCAAAGTAAAAGTGCAGGACTCCTTGTTCAAAAATGTGACCACAGAGCAATATACCAAGTGCAGGTCTTTCTGAACATCGGGCCCTGTGCAAATGTACCGGTCACAGGTCCATGAAGCCAGGCCTGGCTGCCCAGTGACACTGACATGTCGCTCAGGCTGAAAACCATAGGCTTACACCAGCCAAGCACTTTTCAAGTGAATTAGTGAACTGCCAAAAGCCATGGCATTCCTGAAATTTATCTCTGTACTTCTGAATACTTTTGAAAGCAAAGCACACATATAGGCTGCCTCATACTGCACAGGGCCTGGCACACAGTGTGGACTTAATAAATGTGAGAGGAGAGAAAGAAGAAAAGAAGGAAGGAAGAAATCAATGAAGATGTATAGGACAGTATGAACCAAACTACTTTCCTAATTGGGAAATGTTATTTAATTTTTAATCTTTGTGACTGGTCTTCAAGTCTAAAAACTCAAACAGTTTTTAAAAATTATAAAATACAAACATGCCTTCTTTGGGTAGGGCATGGTGGACTTTGTGATTGGTTACCTTCGTGGTCATGGTGTCACTGCTCTCAGAAATCTGCTCTGCAGTGACTTAAAGAATGGAAATTCTGTAAAAAGAACTCCTTTTCTATCTGGCAAAGAAGTGTCTTCATATTCTCCAAGCCAGGAGGTTTTCAAAGCACCAACTGCAAAGGATGTCACTTAATATCTAATCCTCACTAGGAGATTATGTTCTCCCCTGTAATTAAGTAGCCCCCTGAGTGCAGCTGGGAGGAAAATTGGTAGTGAGTGGAGGAAGAAGTTCCATGCTACACCCAAACCACACCTGAGGCATTGGATGTTGGTGGGCCCTTCATTTCTCCAGAACTTAGCTTTCTCATTGCTATACAATAAAAAGAAGTGACCAACTGTCTTGCCTTACTAACAGGGTGTTGGGAGAAGTCTAGGAGAAAATGCTTTGTAAACTACAAATTGTTTGAAACACTTGTGGGTGGTTATTTATTTATTTATTTATTTATTTTTTTTTTGAGACAGAGACTTGCTATATAGCCCAGGCTGGATTGCAGTGGCATGATCTCGACTCACTGCAATCTCAGCCTTCCGGGTTCAAGCAATTCTCCTGCCTCAGCCTCCCACCACCACGCCCGACTAATTTTTATATTTTTAGCAGAGACAGCAGTTCACTATGTTGGCCAGGCTGGTCTTGAACTCCTGACCTCGTGATCTGCCCACCTCAGGCCCCCAAAATCCTGGGATTACAGGTGTGAACCATCACGCCTGGCCTTTATTTATTTATTTATTTTTTAGATAGTCTCACTCTGTTGCCCAGGCTGGAGTACAGTGATGTGATCTCGGCTCACTGCCACCTCCACTTCCCAGGTTCAAGCGATTCTCCTGCCTCAGCCTCCCAAGTAGCTGGGATTACAGGCTTGTGCCACCACTCCTAATTTTTGTATTTTTAGTAGAGACAGGGTTTATCCATGTTGACCAGGCTGGTCTCGAACTCCGGACCTCAGGTGATCTGCCTGCCTCAGCTTCCCAAAGTGCAGGGATTACAGGCATGAGCCACCAGGCCAGGCCTGTTTTAAAAAGACAAAACAGAAGTAGGTAGTCAGGAGGGAGAGTGCAGAGCGGGGGCTCTCACCAGAAGAGAAAAGAGAGGAAAAGGAGGTTTCAGCAGCCTTTTGAGACTTATGGTGACTGATCTAAGACACATCAGAGCTTTCTGCCAGGGGACATGGTGAAGTTTCCCTGCCAGCTGCCTGAGCATGGAGGGTGTCTTCAGGTAAGCCTAGGATGCTAAAGTCTGGGCTTCTGGCCTTTGAGCACACCACAGCCTATAGCCTTATAGAGAGGTGGGAGTCAATGGGTGTATTGCTATTAT